AACACAAAAAGTTTTGACTCACAAGATTTTTGGTGTATCACAACATTTAACTCAACTATCCTGATGGTTGTATAGTATAACCCCGAAGAGAAAATAGAAAGTTTTTCAAGTACATGCTTTTTAGAAGTAATGCAGAGATATTACATATTTCCTTCATTTGTGATCTCAATATGATACCCATTTTGGCGTAAGTCCTTAAAGCTCAATAAATTTCTTCAAGATCTAATATAATATAAGACATTATCAATGTGTATTATTGTCCCACGTAGTAAAAAAATATAAGCTTTTTTGGAGCTTTCAATCAAACTTGTGGGACCTAAAATTATACTAACACTAGCCTCAGTCAATGTTAAGTGGAAAAATATTTTTTATCTCGAAGAATTGTGTGTGTCGTTCCACTGTCTACAAGGCATTTATCATCGCCATTAACTAATGCATTTGATAGATCCATACCTATATATATCATACAAAGTTCATATTTAGATTTTATTATGACAATAGAAACTTTAATACAATGATAACAAAAGAAACTTTTAATTCAAATGTAACTAAAGAAACTTTAGTACAAGTACAACAATAAAAACAAATAACAAAAAAAATACAGACAAATGATGATATGATAAAAGAAAGTATAATTTAATTGGTGTGGATATTTTCATCACCAATCAAGCGGTTAATTTTTCCATCACTATCCTCAAAGAAATCTGACATGTCCAGATTTGTGATATCCACTAGCTCATTTAAATCAGTGAAATTCAATTCTATCTTTATCCCCTTTTTCCTTCAGTGAAGCTTGATATAGATCAGTCAAGTGTTTAGGTGTACGATAAATACTTTTCCAGTGCCCGTCATGCCACACTGATAACAAATATTTGTATATGTCTTTGAAATTTGGACCATACCTTTCCCCTTTTCATTATAATCCCTTTTTCTAGGGATATGGTGTGAATCTCTAATTGTTAGAATTTGAGGTATGATAATCTTCACGGCAGTAAGAATGATTTTTTCCACAACCATATTCGCCATTATGACCATTTCGATTACCATGACTATATTCATTGTCATTTCGACCACCACGGCCATATTCACTACCACGCCCACGTCCACGAAGCGAGGCAATGTATGTTTCAGGGATCGGTGTCGATCCAATTAGACGGGACTAGTGGTTTCTTAACAAAAGCTCAATATTTTGCTCAGTCACAAGTAAACATAATATTAGCTCTGAATATTTTTCAAATCTGTGCTCTCGATATTATTGCTGTAAAAGCATATTAGATGTGTGAAATGTGGTGTAAGTTTTTTTCCAACAAGAGCTCATCAGTGATATTATTGATGTGTGTCAATAATAAATTAACCACTCGCAATAAAACGAATCCTTGTAGGATAGGGCTATGTTGAGGGTATCGAACCTCAAGGATTGTGGTGATTTATCGAGTCTTCAATTAATACTATTTTAATTTAGAAAGAAGATTTGATTGTGTGTGTTGTGTTGCAATTCAATAACATAAAATAAAATAAACGAATTAAAAGGATTGTGATCAAGAGAAGAAATACTTAGGAATTGATTTCACCATGAACCTCATACTATGGTCAACTGTTTAACCTTGATTGAGGTGGTTTATCGAGTCTTCAATTAATACTATTTTAATTTAGAAAGAAGATTTGATTGTGTGTGTTGTGTTGCAATTCAATAACATAAAATAAAATAAACGAATTAAAAGGATTGAGATCAAGAGAAGAAATACTTAAGGATTGATTTCACCACGAACTTCATACTATGGTCAACTGTTTAACCTTGGGATTTCAATAATTATGTATAATGTGGAATTAAAATCAATAACATTTGTTTAATTCAAATTTAAAGAAAGATGTTTCATGAATTTCAATTAATAATAACCTATCTTCGGTTGGCACGAGTTATCTACCTACCTACTTTTAACTAATTTTGCAATATAACTTGTCTTCCCTAGGCATAGATTATGAAAACATTCATTAATGAAAAATGTTTGAACACCATTGGATGATCTCCATTCTTATGCTCGACAGGGCTCCGCTAGATATCATCCAATAAGAATGGGTTGAATATAATTTAAGAATAATTAAATCTAAGACAAGGTATTAATCATTCAAAAACTATTTAAAAATTAAAACACCAATTGAATTAAGCAATTGTCCATAATCATGCAATCAAAATATGTAATATATTAAATTCCCAAAGAATAGAACAATCAAACCATAGTATTCAGATTCGGGCTACATCAATGCCCTAAGAGAGGAATTAACTACTCATGACGACGCAAGATATCATTTGTGTTGTTGTGGTCTTCATCGCCATAGACTGCTAAAACTCCTTTTGAATCTTCTTCTTCAGAACCCTAAAAGCCGCCGTGAGAAAGAGATATAAGACAACGGATTAGAGAACGGATTACCTGATATGATGGCCTTGTGCCTCATTTTATAGAAGAATTAACTTCTAGTAAGGGTTAGACGGGCTTTTAGGTCTTCTAGGGTAATCTGGCCCATAAGGAAACAAAGAAATATGATTTTTGGTAATTCTCGCATATATTTACGACTTTCAGGATATCCAGGCTCGAGCTTCAGAGTCCCAGGCTCGAGCATTAGGTGTTAGTGCTCGAGCATTTGGGTTCAAGCTCGAGCATCACCTGCCAGCAACTTTATCTGACTTTGCAATGTGATTTTGACCTATTTAGAGTGCGAATTTAGAGATGGCTATTAGAGACAAAAACGTTAAGCTTCGAGTCTTCTTTCCAAAACTGCTAAGTTTTCTCAATTTGGAGTTCTGAGTCAAAATTTATGGCCAAAATACTAAAGTGGGTTCAGAGTTTTCGGCCATGCTCGAGCCTGAAGTGTTGATGCTCGATCCTTTCATTCGTGCTCGAGCCTCAAAGCTGAGGCTTGAGCTCTAGGAGCAAAATTTTCTAGAACGTCTTTTTATTGATGGTGCTCGATCATCTCTTCATGGTGCTCAATCCCAAGGTGTTGGGCTCGAGCTTTACTTTGATACTTAGCCAAATTTCTTCAACTCTTTTCCGAAGCATCTTTTCCTTCAACACTTAGAATATTTTTGGGTTTGAAATCTTTTAACATTGCTCGATCCAAGCTTCATGGGCTCGAGCACTAGGTACCATGCTTGAGCATTAATGGATGGTGCTTGATCCTTAAGTTGAGGCACGAGGTCTGGGAGCTTGGAAATCAATTCCTTCAAATTCTGGCGCCTTGTGCTTGAGCTTAAGGGTCAAGGCTCGAGCACCCTATGGTCAGGCTCGAGCACCCTTTATTCAGGCTCGGGCTTGAAGGTACAAGGCTCGAGCATCAAGCCTGAGGCTCGAGCTTCAGATTCTGAATTCCTCCAAGCTTCACCATTTAAACTCTCAGCTTGCTTTGAATGACTGGCAACGATGCGGTAAACTTCATTATCATTCTTTTTATCATAAAAGCCCAGTTTTAACAATTTCTTTGGAAAAACACCTAAAAACACGAAATATACAGAAATTAGTCTAACAATGGATAAAAGTATCACTTTAGGTCTTAACATACGTATATTTAGGGACTCGAATATGCAATATTCAGCGCTCATCAATTATCACCACATAATTTCAGTGTAGAGCTAATTTTAAATAGAGCAGAGTTGTATTCAGCCACAGTTTTGAAATCTTGCAACCGCAGTTGCTGCCAATCAACTCGAGCTTTTAGGAGGATAACTGTTTTCTGATGAACATATCTTTCTTTCAAAAAAATTTCCAAATTTAGTAGATCTCTTTCAGTGAGGTATTCAGTTTTTAACTCCTCACTAATATGGCGACAAAGGAAAATCATAACATTTGCCTTATCTTATAACGATGCATCATTTTCTTCTTGAATTGTGATTCTAAGACCCATGGCATCTACATGAATCTAAGCATCCAGAATCCGAGATAAATAATTTTTGCAGAAAATGTCCAGGGCTACAAATTTCAGCTTTGTCAAGTTTGATATTTTCAGAATAACTAGATGTAATAACAATATAAGAACACAATTTTAACATAGTATAAAAATAAGCGTATATCTTAATAATAATGTGGCATTAAATGAAACAACAAGATAATATGAACTATTATAATTTAAGTAATAAAGACGATAAAACCGGCCATTAAATCATTAAATAATAAATGCGGTAAAATCGATCATTAAATAATAAAGAAGTTAAACTGACTATTAAATAATAAAGGCAGTAAAACCGACTATTAAATAATAAATGCGATAAAATTGACCATAAATCATTAAATAATAAAGGCGGTAAAATCGACCATTAAATAATAAAAACGGTAAAACCGACCATATTGTGAGCACATATATCACTTTAAGTGGACAAATTAATTAATGAATAATAATAAATAAATAAATAAATTTTCAGTAAAGCAAGCAAACCCAACAATTTATCAAAACTAATATCACAAGATTGATATATATAATTAAGATAGGAAGAGGGAAATAAAATTTCTTTTTCAAATTTTAGATAGTTAGAACTCGTGTTAATAACGTATTATAAATATAAATATATATATATATATATATATATACGAAAAAAGAGAAGAGAGAAAACTTTATTTATTCATAAGCTGAAATATCCAATTTACAAAGTCCTCAATTACATTTATATAGTCAAAAGTCGCCCACTAATACAGCAGTCAATTGTATTACATATACATCATCACTAAGTCAATGGCATGTAAATACATCAATGGACTAATGGCACGTACACACATCAATGGACAAACATATTTCTTCCACCGCCTCACTTATTTCTCCGATTTACATTTACACTTACACTTATGAAGTGGAGCCCACGTTTATAACACGTGACAAATTTTCATGCAATTGAATGTGTTAATTTTATTTTTTAAAAAAATGGATGACATGACATATTAGATTGACACGATGAAACAATGTGATAGAGAAGTACCCAATAATTTCCATGATGAAACAATGTGATAGAGAAGTACCCAATAATTTCCCTTTTATCTTATTCCCCTCAATGATTGGACTGATTTTGTCAAAAATAAAAGTTTATTGTTAAAAATGAAAATAAAAATAAAAAAATTGATACTTAACTTGGACTCTATAGAAAGAGCGAGTTGGCATTGATTCCTTTTGTCATTTACCATGGTGGGCAGAGCACAATCAAAGCAAAGGCCGCACGAAACTCCACACAAGACAAAGTTGAGACCACCTTTCCGTTATTCTTATTGATCCATAACTTAACCACTTTTCCAAACACTCCTAAACTACATAGAGTAATACTCTATAATTAACAATTCCCAAATCACATTTACATTTAATAATTCCCCAAACCAAACAATCTCTCTCATCAAACCTCAATATCAAACCGGATGTGCTTCAACAGCACCGGAACCACCACGTCCGGCGAGCTCAACTGCGGCAGGTGACCGTCCGTCGACATGACCTCCACCACCGACTCGCCGCCTAGCATCTGGTGGAGGTACTCGGAAACCACCACCGGCACGGCCAAGTCCTTCATGCTCTGTATGATGTGGCACGGGACTGTCACGTGGCACAGCAAGTGTCTCAGGTCGCTCTGGAAGATGGTTTGGGCCACGCTGAGGGCTATGTCCGGTCTCATATTGAACAATGTCCGGCTGAACTCCTGCACCGCCACCGAGTCCATGTCGCCGCCCACCGCCAGCGGCGCGAATCCCGAACACCACGCCTTGTAATTCGATCGCATTGCTTCGAAGAGCTGGTTCAGATCTTCTTGCTCAAATCCTCCGTAGTAATCAACGTCATTCAAATACCTAAAACCATCAAATCAAATCAAATCAAATGATGAAATTTGTTTGTTAGTACATGTTTTTTTCAATTTTATTATGAACAAGAGATTTGTGCCATGTTCAAAAAGAAACTGTGCTTGAGTTATTTAATTTCTTGATAATTTTCAAAGAGATAAAATGGTTTGAAAATTTATTGATAATTCTATAATTTAAAAAGTCCGTTGATTAGACTGTGATTCAGAAAATAGTTTGAAAATTAAATGATAATTTTTAAACAAATAAATTGCTTTCAAATAACAGTTGACGTTGAATTTGAAAATACTGTATTTAATTTAATCAACATTATTGACAAGTGTCTGTGAAAGACTAAATTGTTGAAATTGAAATTGAAATTGGATTTGGATTGGAATTTAAGATTTTGTAAATTGATAGTGAAGTGGTGAGATCGAACCTGGGAGAAGCACCGAGCATGATGATCTTGGTGAAGAGATCGGGGCGGGTGATGGAGGCGATGGCGCCAATGAGGGCGGAGACGGAGTGGCCGACGAAAATGCAGGAATCGACCTGGAGCTCTTCGAGGAGGGCGAGAATGTCATAGGCGTAGCCTTGGAGGGAGGAGTAGCGGTCGAAGTCGAAGTACTCGGGGTTGGTGGTTCCGGCGCCCATGTTGTCGAAGACGACGACGCGGTGGTCGTCGACGAGGTGGGGGACGAGGTGCTTCCACACCGACTGGTCGGTGCCGAACCCATGGGCCAGAATCACCGTCTGGTTGCCGGAGCCCAACACCTTCACGTTGTGAGCTTCTTCGACTATGCCCATTTCTTATTGTGTTGTGCGTGTGTGTTTGTTTGTGTGTGTGAATGTGGGTGGTTGTAGTGGATGAACGTGGACTTTGTTGGTACTCTGCGTTTTTGGAGAGACAAAGACGATTGGCAACCACATGTGCATCGGATATTTCTAGATAGCATTATCGAGTTAATTCAATTATATGAGTGTTTTTTTTCCCCTACCTATTTGGCATGTCCTGACAGGAGTTATATAAAGTGGGAGTTTAAAAGTGCGGTGATTCAGGAGATAACTATTTAGTTCTCACTTTTAAATGGCACTCTTGATTTAAATGATAAGTATATTATGGAGCGGTATACGTGAGAAAAAAAAAAAATATTAAAAAAAAAAGTTATTAATTATATTCTTAGTATAAATGATGCGTGTATTGTGAGTTGTGACACACTTATTCTAAGAGTTTGTTTGATTAGCCAAAAATTGATGATAGAAAATGAAAGGAAAAAAAAATGAAATAAAGAAAAAAAAAAATTTAATTTCTATTATGTATTTAGTTAGCATGAATTTTTTTAAACAAAATTGTGAAAAAAATATTGTTTCATTAATTTAGATGGTAGGAAAGTAAAAAGAAAATGATTTTATATACTAAAACCATCCTTACTAATTTAATACAAATAATATACATAGTGTAAAAATATATATACAATTGGGTTATAAATATATATATATATATATATATATATATATATGTCCAAATACAAATTTGGTAATTGTTTAGGTTTTTTTTTTTTAGCTCACGTCTTTTGTGAGTGTGGAGAAGAGTTCTAATTTTAAAAATCATAAAGTTGTAACTTAATAACAAAATGTTAATATATTGATGAAAAAAGAGATAAATGTATAAACAATTAATAAAGGCATAATAGGGAATCAAAATATAATTATACAATATTAGTATATTTTGGAGGAAATATTTCAACGGGAATAGTACTTTCCTAAAAAAATTTCTTTTCAAGTTAACCAAACTTAGTTCACGCTAACCAAACTAAAGGAAAAAAAAAAAAAAAAAGGGAAAGTAAAAAAGTTATGATGAGTTATTATTATAGGTTTTTTTATTTATTTATTTTCATTATGCACAAAGATCCAAACACATTCATAATTTTGTATTTAAAGGTAGATGTATTTGGATCATAGACACGGCAATTTTTCTTTTTCTTTTTTTTGGTAAATTTCACGGACCTCCTATATAATTTGTCATAGTTACAAAGATCTCCTTTATATTTTGAGAAATTACTCAGACTTCTTCTAAAAATAAAATTAACGTACTTTCTAGTCTTATCCGACACGGGTCCGGACCATATTCGCGTGTCAGGACCATGTTCCACACCACCACGACACCTCTAGGTGGAGCGTCTATGCTTCCTAATTTGACTCTCACCATTCACTCTACTTTAGAAGATAAAAGAGATATATCATTAAGTTACCCTGCTCTTGGTGCAAAAGCCACACCGATAATGTATGATTAATATTGGTTCAAAATTATCAAAACGTCCGATTGTTAAAATTTTGTTATTTATTATTATTATTATATTCATTTTGTCGATCCTATTACATTTTGCCAGTGTTAATTCTTTTAAAAAGATAAGAAAAATAAAAGGCCCATCTCCATTAATGCATATTGCTTCCATCCAGTTCTTACTCCTTATCACCTGGTCCACGCCTGGTCCATACCACCATGGCAACACCAAGTCAAATAGTGTCATTATCCCAAATTTCTCGCTCTAATTTCATAGCCGCCCAAACGGCCAAGGCATCATCTTCACCGTCCGATGGGCCCTCTATAGTCTTTCCAAGCTCCTCATTTCCGCCACCTTGTTCTGAAATTCTACAATGGTATCAAACCCTTCTCATCGTTTCCATGGAATCACATAATTGCTATAATTGACTTTAACTCAATCTTCATGGTGTCAATTGTAACCGTTAAAAACAAATTCAATTGTTTGAAACAAGTTTATTTTTTATTACAATAAATTGACAAAATGATAGTTGGTCCATATAAATTGCTTTTAGTGGCTCTAATAGCCCATAACTAAGGGTCTGTTTGCGAATAAAAAATATTTTACATTTCTGTTTTTTGAAACAAACAATAACTTTTTATTTATTTATTTATTTATCGTTATGGTGTATGTTCAATAGTGATTGGAAACATGTTCAATAAAGTAAAATTTGTTATTAGATTATTGAAAGGAAAAAAAAAAAAAAAAAAAAAAAAAAAAAAAAAAGTAGTTAAAAATGTCATTTAAGAGTTTTTTTCTTGCTTACATTACACCATCTGAAATAAAAAAACAAAAAAAAATATATATATATATATATATATATATATATGAAACAAAAGCAGTTGCAAAACATGACCTAATTCAATTGTTTTCAGTTTTTTAGCTTTAAGAAAGTTTGTGTGGTTTCAGTTTTTTAAAAGATGTTTTGTGAAAAGTTAATTAAAAAAAAAAATAGAGACAAGTTTTGTTTTCTGAAATCTTGATAAAAAAAAAAAAAACTTTAAAGATATTTTTTTGAAAATTGAATTAAACAAACCCTATCTTATGATTTTTTACTTTTACCTTTTATTTGAGAAAATTATTTGCAAAGTGAATTTTGATGAGCACTTTTCCCCGATCGACTTCCCCTATCACCCCCATCAAGGCAATTTTATGTTTGGTGGGGAATCCATAACAGGTAATTAAGTACCATTAAATGTGACATGAACTTAAGCAGAGTAGACAAAGCAATTAGATGACCTCACGTTACAAGTTGTTATCTATTAGGGTCACGACTGGGGCGAAAGAGACATAAAGAAAAGAAAATGATCTTTTCCTCTTTCTTTTTCCGTGAATGAATTGAAGGGTTTGTGTGTGTGTGTGTGTGTGTGTGTGTGTGTGTAGATGACCCAAAAAAAATATCTTATTAGGACCACTGGTGATATTGATAAATGATTTCGTTCTAAGGATACTTATCCTCTTTAAAATAGAAAATTAAAAATGCCTAATAAACAAAGGTAACCATTCAAATTACATTCTTGCTATTGATGAGCTTGAACAGAACAGATCCCATCCTGTGACCTTTGTGCACGAATAATGGTGCCATTTTCAAGCATAGGTCATATATTAACGTTGACGTGATATAATCGACGGCTACAAATAATCCATCAAAGTAAAATAGGCATACAATACAACTAAAAAGTTGATTCAAATGTTTTGATAAATTATTTGTACATGTCGGTTGTACTATGTAAGCGTTATTATCGTTATAACGTATAATTTATAATCATATTTGGGACTCTGAAGTGTGACCAAAATGGCAAAGTTGGGCAAACAAGGGAACATGGGTTTGGGTACACAACACGGGTACAAGATCGCCTCCACAAAATTTGAGAACACTAAATTAGTGTCTTGAAATTAAAATTAAAGATATTTAGTTCAACCTACACAAGAATAATCTCATTACATCCAATAGCCTAACCCTCAATGAGACAGCTGACAAGCTAACCGGTGAGATCTTGCAACTCATTAGCCCATTTATCTGTTGTTGTTTTTGGGTCTTATGGGCCATGGTTCTCTTATAATATGTCATTCCGCCGTTGGACCTGTGCTACAACCGGTCAAAGTTTGAGCTAGAATCCGCTCAACGCTGCGGTACCCTGTTATCTTAAGCCCAAGCCGAATCTCAATGCGCGCGCGCGCACACACACGTACATTAGTAAAACACACAGTTGTATTGAATAAAAGAAAACAGATTAATAAAATACTTAAATTCAATTATTGATATAGAATTGTTGCTATGTATTTATAAAAATAAATTATATATATCATTCTCTAATTAGATTTTCTTATTGAAATTCAATATTTCCTACTACTATATTATTATTATTATTATTATTATTATTACTATTTCTCCTTTAATTAGATTTCTTTTTAATGAATTAAATAAATAAATTTTTTAATATTAGATATTTCCTTCTCTAATTAAATTTTATTTTATTAAATTTTTTACGATTGCATACTTTCCTTACTTTTCAAAGGAAATGATAAGAACGGCCTAAACTCATTAATACATAATTCTTTATTTTATAATACAATAACTATCCTTTTCACAAAAAACTTCAATTTTTTTAATTTTACTCAAAGCATAATGTATAATTTTCCAAACTTTTTGAATTACCCAATAACAATGTAATGGAAAAGAAAATCGCTAAAGTAAAAATAAATTAATATTATCATTTTCCCACAAGAACTCTATTGCTCCCGTGCATCACCAATGAATTTTATGACGTAATTTCATATTTAACAAGAATGAATTTCAGTTCAAGCTCTGAAAATGGGGACCGCAAGTGGACTCTTCTTGCCAATGGGTGACTAAAGTAGGGATTTGCTAGTGGTTTTTCTTAAAAAGATTTCTTTGATCTAAATTCTAAACTTTGATGAAAAGCTTTGGTCGTAAGAAGAGCAATGAAATGGAATTAAAAAACAAAGTGTATATCAACCACAATGGAAATCATGAAAGTATGGTATTTAAAAAATTATTATTATTATTTATTTATGAAATTAATGTTAGAGATGTCATTTCTTTTAATATTGAATTGCAATTGTAGAATAGTGGAGTGCGAAAATGCCTCACTTTTTTATAATTGCAATTCAATGTTAAATAAAATGACACTTCTATTCCTAATTATATAAATAAATATTATTTTTCTCAAATATCACAAATACCCATTCAATTATGCAAATATCTATTGGTCTCCCACTCTCTTCGATTAACATTTTGGGATACTTCCAGCCTTTACTCAACTCTTTCTTTACATCGTATTAATTATCTATTTTCTCTCTCCTTAGAGTTTGATATTGATTTATGTAAGTAACAATGAAAGATGACACACATGAAAAAATGGTGGAAATGGTGAAGTTAAACAAAGTAATTGATGTTGTTTTGAGAAGAATGGAAGAATTATCAAAATTTTCACGAGCCATTCAACTGCTTTGATGTTAATGATTATGGTAATTTTTTCTTTTGTATGCCTTGAGTTTAATTTAAAATTATTTTTCCGTGATTTTAAAGAATTCTTAGGATAAGTGACCTTACCTGTTTGTCATCTTAAATAAACACGGTAATGTGATCCATTCAAAATTTTCAATTGGCGAGATATAAGCCAGTTCTATTTTTTTTTTT